AAGGCAGAAGCAGAGATTAGAGCAAGGAAGCTACATGGACCTCCCTAAGTCACTGAAAGCTGGAAGTGGCAAAGGGTGCTCCCTTAGACTCTCCAGACTCCATGGCCCTGACAGTAGCTTTGTTTCAGCCTTCTGGCTCTGAAGCCGTGAGAAAACAAATTTCTACTATTTCATGCTGCCAAGTTTGTGCTAATTTGTTATGGCAACCATACTAAGCTAATTCAGAGGTTAACAGCTTTTCATAATTTCAAGGACAGGATTTCATGGACACTTTCAGAATCTAACCCACAGAGAAGCTTGTCTATCTGCCCAGGGATCATGGGCACCTTGAGTTTCTCCACATAGGGCCCCCTGGTATCTTGGCAGTCCCTTGAGTCTGGATCATTTTGGGGCTTCCACTAGACTTCTTGGTGCTGCATCCATTTCTGAACTGGTCATATACTAAAAGAATGTCCAAATTAATGGTCATCAAGCTAAAACCAATGTGGATCCCTTGAAGGACTCTCCTGACTCATTTCCATGGCAGACACTCTTAAGGACTCCTGTACTACTGACTTGGGCATGAACTCAAACAGGACTTGTCCTTTTGATAATGGTCACCTGTGCTGGTAACTTTACAAAACAGGGAGGAGCAAGGAGACACTACACTGGCTTTTGCACGTGTCTGGTGCTGGGGACATGGGGCCTCTTTTTCTCTGGCTCTTCTATATACTGTTTCTTTGAAACAGTGATTTAAACTCATTGAAATTCCTCTTCCTGTTTCATGACTAAATCGTTCATTTAGGTATTATCAACGTTTTGTTTATTATTTATGTTTCTGTAGGGTCATTTGGGAATTTTTGTCCTTTCAATTATTTGGATTTAGGATATTTTTATTCTAAATTTGTTTTTTTACAAAGCAATATTGAAGTTAATTAACAGACAGTCTTAATACAGATTTAAGCACAGGCATTAAGAGGGAAAGAGATAGTAGTTTTCTCATTACTGCAACAAATACATGACCAAACAACTTAAGAAGTGAAGGGTTTGGCTCACAGTTCCAGGGGATACAATCCATCATGGCAGGAGCAGCAGGCAGGTGGTCACCTTGTGTTCAGGAAGCAAAGGGGAGGAATGTCTGAGCTCAGCTCACTTTCTCACTTTCATTCAGTCTGGGAACCCAGCCATGGATTGGCAAAACTCACATTCAAGGTGAGTCCTCTCACTTCAACTCACTTAGACTAAATAATCTCTCCTAGGCTTGACTAAAGATTCATTTCCATGGTGATTCCAAACTTTATCAAGTTAATAATCCAGATTAGCCATCACAAGACCCTAGTGTAATGCCATGTTCTCAAGAGAGCTGCCTCTTCTAAATTTATATAAACCATTTATAGAAGACTCAACTGTTGTCAGTGTAGCCAACAGTTAATTTTATAAGCCAAGTCCACTGGACTATAGGATGGATGCCCAGATAGATAACAAAACATTAATTCTGGGTGTGTCTGTGAGGGGGTGTGTCTGTGAGGATATTTCTAAAAGAGATTACCACTTGAATTGATCAGCTGAGTCAAAACTATCCATATCAATGTGAGTGGCTTTACCTGATTCATTGAAGGTCTGAGTAGAGGGAAAAGATGGTAAGGAGCCCATTCATGCTCTCGGTTTGATGTGGGACATCCATCTTCTCCTGTCCTCAGACACCAGCCCTTCTGGTTCAGGCCATGTCTGATAAAAAATAAATAGCCAGAGCAGTGATCAAGATGCCACAATACTGAGCTTCTAAAGGAAATTTGTCAACAGAAAAGAGAGGAAATGACTAAGATGTATAACCGAATTTCACGTTACAAGAATAAAAGAGCGGCTGGAGAGATAGTTCAGCAGTTAAGAGTGTGCGCTGCTCTTGCAGAGGACCCAAGTTCAGTTCCCAGCACCTATGGCAGACTTCTCACACAGTCCTGAATTCTAGCTCCAGGGTATCTAACACCCTCTTCTGGCCTCCTCAGGCAACTGCACACAGACACACATAAAGATTTTAAAAAATTAATTAAAATAATAAAAGAGTAGAAGTGTCATAAAATGTTATCAATCAAAAGACTGCTTTTTGTTTTATAGCTAAAATCTAACATTGTGTACACATTTTTATTATAAGAATTGACACAAGACTGAATCGTAACAATGTGAATCAATAACTAATTAGCATTTATAAATGCAGTTACTGTGAAACATGCTTCAATTTCATGCAAAGAAGCCGAAGAACCAATTAACAAGGTCAAAAGGGAAGTAAATGCATGTGTGGTACCTTGTATCTCCACAGGGTACACGTAGGATTGTAAGCCAAGTCAAAGTTCTATGCCCCAAAGTGCAAGCCTAATGCTACTGTGTCAAGCCAATCCATCCAATAAGCATACATTAAAAGAAAAAGATAAGGTGTGGGGTGCTGAGCTTCCCACCAGAGTTGCTGAGGAAATTCATTATCTTCTCTGGCAATTCTTCAAGACAGCTTAATAAAAATGAATACGATCAAAGGAAACATGAAGAGAGGGGGTAAAGCAAGCACATTAAGCAAGAATTGCTGCCCATGTAGTGTTTTAGAAAAAGACAAGGATGCATGGGGCCGGTGTGAATGTAAAAACTGATTCAGGAAAACAGATAGCTTGAGCCTTGGCATGCTTTCCTTCCCTCAGTTTTGGCACATGTTAAGAAGACTAAAATGCAGCCATTAAAATGAGTGAACAATTCAGATTGCCACTACATCCAGGATACACTGGTTTCCTGGTATTATTTTGTCACACCTCATGATATTTACTTAACTATGGCTGGGCGCTGACATAATCCAGTCTCATCTCAATCAGATACGGCAGCATCCTTATACCTGAGAACTATGAGAAACTTAAGCATCAAGAGGGGCCAGAAAAAAGGGAAGGATTAAAACACAAACAGACTGAGAAAGAAAAGCACAGAGGAAGGAGAGTGGAGAGGAGCAAGATATTGCATCCTGCATTTTAGACCTGCGGCTCAGAGCGTGGCAAGCTGTGAGAGTGACTGAAAATAGAAATCTTCACCTTTTCTCCTGCTTCATCCAGACCCTACTGTAATCTCCTTGAAGGTATGGGCTAATTTACAAACACTTCAATAATTCATTATTCACAATCTCGAAAAACCCCTGGGACCTGCTGGAATGACAGTGTACATAAAACCCACATCACACTGTGGCTGGATTCCTGAGGTCTTCCACCACCCACCGTGTCGCTCCCACAGTTTGGATGATCCCCATTAGCACTGCTTTTTTTTTTAATTATTTAATAACCACACAATCAGAAGAGGCATTTCATTTCAACAGCATTGACATATTCAATAACAATTTCCAGAGCTAAGATGCATCTCCTTCAAAATTGGCTGTAAATTTTTAGGTTTACATTTGAATTAATACAGTTGTACAATATTGTACTCAGTATAAACCCTGTAAGATATAAAATTAAATGAGGTTTTTAACCTTTACCTTCAAAATGCTGTAAATTTTTAGGTTTACATTTGAATTAATACAGCACTGCTTTTTATTCCTGTACCAACTTTTAGCTCATCTTTGAGAGGCTGAGGCTGAAAGTTGGTTGCCTGTGATGGCTGATTTTTTTTTTTTTTTTTCCCCAATTTGGAAGCACCTAGGAGATTAGTCAGGCATACCTCTGGATGCGTCTCTTGGTATTTCCAGAGAGGACTAAGAAGGGAAGAGCCACTCTGCATAGGCATGCTCTCGGCTTCCCCACTGCCCTGCTGTGTCCTGCTCCATTCCACTACAATCTAGCTGCCATGATTCATTAAAACTTCTGAACCCTGAGCCAAAATAAACCTTTCCTCCCTTAAGGCATTTTCTCAGATATTTATCACAGCAATACAAAAAGAACCAACACAATGCCTCCAAGTGAAAACCAGTGATAGATATTCAATATTCACTTTGGAAGCTTTTTGCCCCACTTCTTACCCAGTATGATTTAATTTTTAGACTTTCTGTGGTTCCCAAGATTTGGTTCCAGTCTCCTCCCTGCTTCCACAGCAGGCATGCAGTTTACCATGCCAGTATAGGCTGACAGCCCATAGAATGGGCTTTCAAGGACTGGTACTGTGCTCAGCACATCATTGTTGCTCAACAAGTAACATGGAACAAGCAAATGAGTGTCATTTATCTTTGGAAGCTACAGAATCAGATTATAATCTACGTAGCGAATGCGGCTTCAGATTCTGTCTGAGGGAACTAGAGAAACTCTGCTACTCATCAACATTCTTCCTCAAAACACGAAGCAGCATTTGGGATATGTACCACTAAAGTCCTATTTTATACCATTCCACCTCAGATTTACTACGAGTTTTTAAATTATAAGCATATTTTGGTCAATGATTGAGTCCTACCATTATAGCTGTGCTGTTTAAAATGTACAACTTCTCTGTAACATCTGCTATTCCTTCTCCCCTTCTCTCCTGTCACAGTCATCAAAAATATCAAAAAGCATTCACCTACCAAAGGCAAGTGCCTCACACAAAGGCTTCCTGTGTCTTCCCAAGCTGTTTCCTATCTCTGTCTTTCATGTGTAGCCAGCCTGGTATCAATAGACAGGTATAGATGCCCATGATGACAAGTGTCCAGGCCACAGTTAGTCCTTCTTTACTGTGGTAAGGTAGAAAATGCCCTAACCTTCCTCCGGGTCAAAGCACTATATTGTTTTTACGTTACAAATAGAGCAAACTTTTCCTTTTTGAGTTGAGGAGTCTTTTCTCCTTAGCCACATCCTTCCATATTAATCCCTTACAAATTATTTTTCAGATTCCAAGGTTCATTAATTTAATTGAATCTGTTTCTAGTTTTTAATTAAATCTGAGTTTCTCCCAGTAACCTTTAGAAAAAGACAGGCGCCACGTTATCACATTGGCGAGAACAGGACTGACTGCTGAACAAGACGAACATGAGAAAGAAGTACAAAAGTCATCAGGCAGGTTTCGTATAAATTTATTTTTGTACCAAAACAATTAACATTCAAAGGCAATACTTCTATTTTACAGTATAAAATAAATTCCACTAAATTAAAAGTTGGAGTGTTTTGTTGTTGTTGTTGACAAACCACAGTAACTTTTCTATTAAAAAAAATCTACAATTTGTAGCACTTATAGAAAAAGACACCTGTTCAAAAATTCTATAAATACTCCTGGCAGATTGCAGGAGCCTATTACGCCTCTTTTTTGGCAATGTCAGCTTTCTAACATCAATTAGCCTCTAAATTTGAAAGGCACCTGGTGGCCAACATCCCATTTATTATTCAAGGCAGCCATTTTAACTTGTTTTCCCCGCATAGGCTTGGAAACTCTGAAAAACATACTAAGTCAAAAAGAATGAAGAAATCTACTATATTTGATACTAGAAAACAGTATTCTTCCCCCTTAGCTGCAAGTTTTCCTCAGGGGAACTACAAAGTGCACCAGTTAAATATGTCTGTACATTTAAAACATTAAATATGTCAACAGTGAGACTTTTTAAATATCTTGAATCAAATACTATAACACAAATATAATTTACAATACTTTGCACAGAAAACATTACACCTGAAATATAAATTTAGATATTATATAAAAATACATATACTTTCTTCCCTCATTAGAGAAGGACTTATTTGCAGGTTCCAACATGATGTAACAACTCAGAAGAACTTAACCCTTCAGAGGATCATTTGTTCGCAATAAGGTGGTACCTCTCGAACTTTGAGGTGCACAGTAGAGCAGAGCGCCAGGGATTAGATCCAAAGAATATAATCCTTTCCATAGCACACATGCAGTTTTCAGAAGAGCAACTGTACTTCTTCCAATTGGTTTAATTCTAGGAATTCATTACAAAATTGTAAAACCATGTGTAACTACCCCAAGTCCAGCATTCCCACTGGCTGTACAAGATGCATGTTCTCTATAGGGTCAGGTCCAGCATTCCTATTGGCTATACATATGTGTGTTCTCTACAGGGTCAAGTCCAGCATTCCCATTGGCTATACAAGATGTGTGCTCTCTACAGGGTCAGGAACAAGGATCATGAGTTTTGTAACATGTAAGTCATCCTTCTTAGTAGTCTTACACAACTATATGCATTGTCCTTGTTTTTTTTTTTTATAGGTAGCCAAACATATAGGAAATATGTGGTAATGCTCCATAAAATGAGTCTTAATGTACACCTCAAACTTTGAAAGCCCCAAAGTATGTTGCATCTTGATCAGGATCCAGAAAGGAAGGGTTGGACACTTGGATGCTGATTTCTTCTCCAGCTCGTAGCTTAAAGAATCCTCCAACATTTATGGAATAAAAGTGGAATTCAGAATTCCCTGACCAGTATTTGGTGCTTCCTCCCTTCATCAGAGTTTGAGAACTTGGGATGGTAACACTGGTTTTAACAACATACACCATCAGCTGAAGATACTCTGTAGCTAGGTCTCCTGAAGTTTCATGATGCCGAAAGCAAATGTTGGCATACAGGTAATAGAAGCCATCTTGGTTAACCCTTAGTTTCCCATTCCTTAAAGTCATGTTGGAGATCATGGCCCAGCCCCGGTCATGGTACCAAGACAGACTGAGTTTATGGGAACCTAAAAGAAAAGAGGCACAGGATTTAAAATCTACTCCTTGAATGAGAAAGGCATCCTCATTATTTTATTGGGTTGGTGGGGGTTGGGGGATACACCAGCATAACAGTCTTTATGCCAGTGTAATAACTTACCTTGCGGTTCATTTTCTATATAGGAATGGGTGCATTCAAATGTACTTAGTGCTCCCTGTCAGGCACATTAGAAGTACAAAGACAAAACTCACTATTCCTGCCCTCAAGGAAGCTATAGGACATTGGTGACACTGTGCTATTGCTCAGAAAAGAAGCAAAGGTGAGAACTTAAAGGACAGATACGTATAGTTGCTGTGAGAAGCCAAGAGAGAGCATTTCCACCCAGAGGGCTCAAAACTGACTCTGTGGAGTTGCTGCTAAGCCTGGGAACATAAAAAGTGAAAGAGGACTCAGCCACACAGACAGGAGCAGAAGGTCATTCCAGGCTGAAGAACTGACCAGAGTCAATTCAGACAGGAGAAACCTTGTATAGGAAAAGAATTTTCACTCTTCACATATCTTCACCTTCTGTTTTAGTTCATGGACAGGGATACGTAGAAGGAAATGAAACTGCGGGTCATAATAAGGGTGGGGAAATGGCCCAAATCCTAAACTCTATTTGTAACGCCATAAATTCACCCCACCTTGCTCGGAGTCACAGAGATGAGTAGCTTTCCCCAGCAAAGCTCAAAAAGGAAATGTTCCCAGCACTGCGCCCCCAGCTTAATAACTTCATGCAATCCACTATGACCAAAATATTGCAAAATCACTCCCAAATGCCAAGCCAATCCTTCAATCACTTCTCAGTCCTGAAATGAGGTAACAAGTGACCCTCAAGTCACTGTTTCTGGAGATGTGAAAGTTCTAAAAAAAAAAAAAAATTTCAAATCACCTGTGTGTCCAGTGCTTTTCGAAGTTCAGGTTTGTGGTATATTTTACTGGGTCTTAAAATTTTGGCAATTCTTTAATAATTCAAATTAATTAAATATCCACACTTATGTAAATACTTATTATTTACTGGAAAAGTGGTAACTAATGGGGCAAGAGTTAGAATACTGTAGAAAGGGGGCTAGAGAGATGGCTCAGCGGTTAAGAGCACTGACTGCTCTTGCAGAGGACCCAAGTTTGAGTCTCAGCACCCACATGGTGGCTAACACCCTTCCATAGCTTCAGTTCCAGGGGATTCAATACCCTCGTCTGACCTCCATGGGCACTTACACACATGCAGGCAATATACTCAAACACCTGGAATAAAAATAATGAATTAAATTTTTTTAAAAAGAATACTGTGCAAAGATCCAAAAACACATCTTTTCTCAAAGGAATTTTTAAAAATACTTCCCCAAACTAACATTGCCATCTCTTTGGAGCCGGCAAGACAGCCATGTCTCCAACTAGGGGAGCAGGGGAAGTTTGTTTCTACAGCTTGAGAGTTCTTCGGTGTGTATCATGCTGCCTACTACTTATTAGTCTTGAGGTGCTAAGAGTCAGAAATCAGCAAAGAAGATCAAGAAAAGACAACTTATCACAAGTTCTCTTTCATATGTGGAAGCCAGGAAATACACACACACACACACACACACACACACACACACACATACACACACACACACACTTGAAAAGAGAAGGGGTATTACTTGGGAATGAAGGTAATGGGGAATGAATATGGTCAAAGTACATGTCATTATGAAACCTACCACTTTGTCCAACAATATACATAAATAATTTTTTAGAAAAAAGGAAATCCAAGGACTGACACTTGAGGCCACTAAGTCATGAGCTTAGTAGATTCCAAGATCTATCAAAGCTGACAACTCTCTGATTAGGTGGATAGAAGATTTTTGTAGAATAAAAACCCTATACTAACTACCTTCCAAGAGTGGCCTGAGTTCAAGGAGCTTTGAACACCTGTATCTTTACCTAGAGAGTCAGAGGTGTCTGGGATGTGGTTTCTGGGATGTGGTCTGAGCACGTCCAAACCATACTATCACAGAAATCAACCAAATGATAGGACAAGTGGGAGAAAAATGCAGTAGTGGACAATCTACAGTAGACAATCCATCATTCAAAGACTGAGACTGCAATGGTTCTAATCCTCTGCAGAGAACAGGGGGTTCTCAAACTCCACAGCAGGGCTGTTGTAGTCCCTACCGCCTCCTAGCATGCAACAACAATCCTCCTTCTTTCCCATTGGCGATCTTATCTGGATGGATTAGGATGCCTCAAATGCAAATATCACCCTAGGGTCCCAAGTGAATGAACAGAAGACTGTAAGATCTTGCTCACTACATCATCATGAACACTGGCATTGCAGGCAGTCACCTTATCCATGTACAGGGTTCATGAAATTCAAGATGTTTCTCATTTCAGGTTACCCCATTGTCTACCTTCTTATCCAATTCCTATGCTACATTCAGTCCTTCATTCAATTCAATTAATTATCATGTACATATTTCTTAACAAAGACCAGCAAAATAACTAAAAGAAGTTCACTCATTCAATGGGATTGACCAGTTCATGTTGGAGTAAGATATGACCACAGAAGGCAAGGAAGTAACACAAAGTAATGAGAAAAGACAGGAACTCTGACAGTACCACTCCCACAGTTAGATATGTCAAGTGGAAGAAGTGTCTTTATTTCCTAGAGAGCATCTCTGTGAGCACTCATTTATGCTGGTGATCAGCCATGAGGTACTTGTATGGTGTTTTCTATGAACATTCATTCTGCCCATAGAGGAATGATTCATTCATTCTGCCTATAATGAAGAATTCTATCAAGTAGTGGCTTCTCGGGATGCTTACCACTAACAGTGGAGGGGGAGTAAGAACTGAGTGCATGCAGTACAACCTTTCATTTCCACATGTTGTAAAACACAGGGCTGACATTCAGTGACAAGGGACTTCCCTACAAAAGCTGCAGAAAATCATGGTGCCCAACAAAGTTGAGCTCAGTGAGAAAGAAGAACCAGAAAACAGGGAAAGTTTGGGTCAACCATGGATATACTAAGGAAAGGGGGTGTGCCGTTGGTGAGAGACACTATTGAAGCACGGAGCGATGTGTAGAGCACCCACAGGAGAAAGGCAGGAAAGCCAGACTGTGTGAATAAAGAACTCACAAACAAAAAAACAGTGGGAGAAAGGTGGGAAAATATCAAGGCGATGGCCTCACCTAGCAGCCTGGCATTCTATTGCTAATGAGACAGAATAGGGGCCTTTTATCCTAATCTTTCTGGCCTCTCTGGAGCCCCTATACTGGGCTCCAGGCTGTCAGATGTTAGAAAAGGGACCTCTTGCAAACATTTAGCCTGCGCAGCTCCCTAAGGAAAACCATAGTCTGATTCCTTAAAAATACTCCCTAGGTCATTTTACTTAAGAAACTTTGAAACTTCACAAACAACAGTCCACATGAGACAGATTCTGATTCCTCATGTGTAAATAAATACACAACAGAGCTCCAAAATGAAAAGGCCAAATCAAAGCCAGCTTCCTCTGAATCATCCAGTACTGGCCAGTACGGGAGAACAATGGGCCTGTGAGGCTGTTGGCCCAACCAGAGCAGCAAACTCTATTTTCTTAAACAGAAGCATCTACTAGCTCATTTCCCTACATCTAAAACTGAATAGCTGTCAGAACGTAACCAGCAGTTTTGCTGGGTTTTTTTGGCACTAATTTGATTCTAGGTGCCTGCAGAGGGAGCTTTGTAACTAAAATATGCTTGCTATTGCCAAGCAGGAGTTGGCACACAGTCTCATGCAATATTTATCCTATGCCATTTAAAATGAACTGAAAAGATAAATGTAGGGTGCATTCACAGCATACATAGCCGATGCATCCATATTAATTTGATTGCCTTTGCAAAAGTGCAAAATGGTTTTTCCACTCAGAGAAAATTAGTGTAGCCTCACCACAGGCACAAAGTGAAAAAGAGAAAATTTGTTTATGAAGCAAGCATGTAAGTCAAGTTTGGCAGTTAGAAAATCTAATGGCCCAAAAGTTGGTCTCTCACTTTTTATGTCTTCAATCAGGTGTGCTCTCTCCATGGCCTATGGTATGATAAAGGCTTTGAAATCATTTATCAAAAGTTATACTTTTTTATGTGCATGCATGTTATGCCTGCATGTATTCAAGTGTACCCATGTCATCCAGCGCCTGTAGAGGTCAGAAGAGGGTGTCAGGTACCCTGGAACTGGAGTTACTGAGAGCTGTTTGCCACCATGTGGGAACCAAACCCAGATCCTCTGTAAGGGCAGTCAGTGCTCTTAACTAAGGAGCCAACTCTCCAGCTCCTAGACTTTTTTTTTTTTAACTATTAAAAAGCTAGACTTTTTAAACTCAGAAGAAAAAAGAAAAAGCTTGCCTTAAGTCATTTGTAGAATGAAGTGGAATGTACATAATTATTTAATTAAACTCAAATAACAATTACAAATCATATTCACTGAGTGCCATATGCCCCCTTCCTCCCAGAACTATGATCTTCGTAGCCACCTCACAATGTGGATGTGATGTCCACGGTCATTGCAGATGTGATGACGTTGAAGCAGATTCCAATTCTCTGTGCAAGGTCACAGGGCCAGTAAGTACTAGAATTTTTGTCACTAGATACTACACTGACCTCCTTCTTACAAGAACACATAAAACTCTTGAGTTACTTCTCCCTAACAAAGTCAACACAAGCACCTAGCAGCCAGCTCATAGGATAATGTATAGCACAGACTTGGAGATTAACTAGAGTAGAATTTCAACTTCTAATTCTGACACCACTGTGACTTTAAGCAAATGACAAACTATATGAACCTCTGCCTCCCTGTCTGCAAAATCTGAATGATAATTACTACCCTGTAGTGTTGTAAGGATGAGAGATAATGAATGCAGAACAAAATGCCTCAGCCATGGAGGTACTCACTGTGTAGGGCACCATAGTACTAAGAGTAATGTTCAATCACCACTCTACCATAATGTTCACTGGAATCTTTTTGATCTTTCCCTAGCCCAAGGTGAATAACCAAAGGAGCTGTGTGATGGTTACCTGGTACATTAAAGTAGCTATAGGCACACAGCTCTGGGTTCTCATTTTCTCTAGTAATCAGGTCTCTTCTATGAAGCTAAACATTTACCACCGAGGAAGGGAGAATACAGTCTTCAAAGAAGGGACAGGATGCCTCAGCTTTCTGAGGACTACTGTCTCATAAAGACAGTTTGTTAACCCCACAAGCCCCTCTGTGGAAGACAGTTAAATCTCTGGCTTCTTGAGTGAATGAATTCAGCAATGGGAATGTGTCAACTATGGTGTGAGTAAAAGAGATGAGCATCCTGAGCAAATGTCCTTCTCAGTTTTGTGCTCCCAACTGGCAATTGTTTAAAATAAATACCCCCCAGGGGTGGGGCTGGAGAGATAGCACAGTGGTTAAGAACACTGACTGTTCTTGCAGAAGACCCAGGTTCAAATCGCAGCACCCACATGGCAGCTAACAACTGTCCGTAACTCCAGTTCCAGGGGATCCGACAGCCTCTTCTGTCCTCCGTGGGCATTGCATGACACGGGTGCACTCACATACATGCAGGCAATTCACACATACACATAAAATAAAAATAATAAATAAAATATTTTTTAAAAAATAAACACCTCTTCAGTGACCTAAAAATGAATACAGGGATAGCATGCATGGTGACATAACTGACAAGGCAGGTATCAACTGAGGTTGTACATCCTTCTTTTGGTTGAGAAGTAAAGATGCTCAAAAGTTTTAGTAACAGGCTAATAACGGGTTTGAGTAGTCCATTGGACTGATAAATGCCTCTCAGGCTAGATGCAAATATAACTTACCTGATGGGATATTGGTGGTATTGATGGTGAGATGGGCAAAAGGCCGAGTTTCGGACTTGCTCCTCTTGACCAGATCAAACCAGGAACCTTCCACTGTAGCTGGAGATGACAGAAACCAGGTGAGCTCAAAGACTAGAGACCCTATGGGACTTCAAATATTCAGATAAACTCACAATTACCTGGATATGCAGTGATGTGTTGTGACCTAACAATATGTTGTAATTCCTGAAATAAAAAGAGAATTTTATTTATAAGCTCAGTCTTTTTGTAAAGCAGTAAGAAAATTTAGAACTACTAGCTGTATAATCAACGGATGCTGGAAGTGCGGAGATGGCAAATTCCTGACTGTTGTATTCTTAGATGCTGATTCCAAAGAATGAGGTGGATTTGCTTAAAAAGTCCACCACACATACCATCAAACAAAACCTTTTAATTATAAAACATAAAATAATTGAGCATAATTAAAAATTTGTAACAAGTGCACAAATGGAGATGATGTTAGCAAGGAAAACACAAATACGCAGAATATATGACCCTCTTAAATCTTCAGTGAGCCTCTCTTCAAGTCTATTTCATTAGTGAACTCCTGTTATAATGCTGAGGCTTGGCCCGCAGAAAGCAGAGTGATGCCTGTAGTTAAGCTTTTATTTTAAAGTTACATGGCATTTAAAGTACTATATGGAGCCCTAAGAGCTTTTAGAGTACCAATAATTAACTTAAAATATTGCTGCCAATAGACATCTAGAAGCATAGGCCAGGAAAAGGACGAGCACAAGTAGAGGGAGTGTAGGTAATTGCATATCTCAATTTGGGCTCACAGAATGAAGGCTCTATCAGGTAGCCACATGGTCATCTGAATTCAGATGTTACTTATCATGAGATGTGCCATCGTGGACCATAAAAAGGCAGAGTGGATAAGAGCTATGGCTTTTAGTGTGGTTCAAGTCTTAGTTTAAAGAGAGGATGCTAAGAGCACTCTGGCTAGGAAGATTAAATGAGATAATGCAGGTAAAGCTCTTAGCCGAGTGCCCAGGAGAGTCAGACCCCTAGATGCTAAAACACAGGAGAGCTTCTCGATTTTCATCTTATTCAGATAATCACTCATGCTAACCACAACCACCCCATGATGTTTAAAAAACAGCCCATTGGGACTGGAGAAATGGCTTAGTGGTTAAGAACACTGGTTGTTCTTGCAGAAGACCCTGGTTCGAATCCCAGCACCCACATGGTAGCTAACAACTGTCTATAACTCCAGTCCTGGGGGGATCTGGCAGCCTCTTCTGACCTCCGCGGGCATTGCACAACACAGGTGCACTTATCTACATGCAGGCAATACATGCATACACATAAAATAAAAATAATAAATAAAATTAAAAAAAAAAAACCAGCCCATGCAACAAGTTCTACCAGAGTCTGGAAAGGAAGGTTTTTCAGACCTACAGACAGGTGAATGGGTAGATTTAACAATACAAGCTCACTTCATATCACCTAGAAGTGTCTGGACATAACATTTATTCTTCTCTCTGCCTTCAGGATCCCTAAAGGAGATAAGAATCTATTCTATTTTCAATAACGCTTTGGAGACACAGCATGATAGATTTCAGCTACCTATTCCAAATTCTTACAGTCACAATGTGACTGATTTTTAGAAAGAGACCATAGAGGCAAGGAATCATCTAAAGTCAGCTTCTACCATGGCCTAGACCTGGTTCCTTACACAGCCCTGGGAGCCCACTGCAGGGGAATCTGGGCAGATGGTGGCTCCTGGCATTGAACAACACAGTAGTCCTCAACAGGCTTCCTTTCCCTCCTGACTCCTGATAACCTCTGCTCTTATGGGTCTTTACTCAAGACCTTTGGGTTACCAGTGATGCCTCAATTTCTTGAATTTCCAGGCTTGGGTTCCACAGCATTCACAATGGAGATCATATATATGTATAGTATATATCTTTATAACCATGTATGTTTTTACACATTTATACATGCATAGTATATTATACATTGTGCATAATTTTATGTTTACATATACAGTACATCTTTAGCCATTGTGTTTCTTTACATGTATATCATATATACTTATATATAACATATATATACATATATTAGAATAGGAACCTTGGAGATAGAGTTATTCAGAGATTTAAAGCCACCCCCTTATTTTCCCATTAACTGACTTGCTTCAGCATCAGGGGCTAGAAGCTGAGCAGAAATGCAATTCATTCCTACAACTCCCTTCCCCGTATTCCCTCACCTCCTCTACATGCAGCCTGATTATGGAAAAAAAACAAGAAAAATGTCTTTGTGACCAATACGGTGATTCTCAAAATTGAGGGTATGCGCCAGTTCCCAGGAGTGCATGCTGGCACTGACTGCGGTACAGACAGCCTAGTCTGTGATCCAGGAGGTCTGAGCTGGGGTCTCAGGACTTGCATTTCTAGCAAATGAGCTGGTGCTGTTAGCCTGGTACCCCAGTTGAGATTGACAAGCCCTCTGCAAGAATTCCCACATGAGCAAATGAGGAAATTACCTGAAAGCTTGAGAAGACCAAAGCAGCAGACTCCAGCCTCTGATTAAATGGGCAAGGACTTTTTTCTCTCTCACCTAGGAATGCACTTTCCTTGCCCATTCAATCAGTGGCTTCTGGGTCAGAGTCACCACAGATCCATTTAGTTACAAGAAAATTCGATAAATAGCACCTCTCAGAGGCACTTTCAATGCCTGCTGTCAGGGGGAAAAAGGTTTCATGTCCCAGGATGAATTAGATCTCTCATTAGAGACCCATGAGGTAATGCTGTTTTTGTGTTATTTCTCTGGGGTATGCAAGAATTGCAGTTCCTCACAGAAATTCAGTAAGAAAGTTTCAGCATAAAGAAGGGAGCTTATGATGAGTTCACGATCTCAGGTCACAAAAAAATGCATTGTGATATATGTGTCTCCACCTTGGCTTTTTGAGCTCCAAAGTAATATGTGCAACCATAGATATAACATTCTTCTAAATCTATGCTTTTAAGTTATCTTTGAGATTTGGGACTGTAAAACTAGAATTCTTGGCTAGGGAGCTAGCTCAGTCAGAAGAGTAGGTAAGGACATTAGTTCCATCCTTAGATTTCATGTTTAATTTTTTTTTTTTTTTTTTTTAAAGTCAGACATCCTTGTAATCCCCAGCACTGAGGAGGCAAAGACAGGTAGATCCTTGGGGCACCCTAGCCAGCCTGGCCTAATCACTGAGCTCCAGGCTCCTGAGGAACAATACCCCAGGTTAACCTCTGGCTTCCACATACATGCACACACACATTCACACATGTGTAACCCCACACACACTGTTCTCCCTCTCTCTCTCTCTCTCTCTCTCTCTCTCTCTCTCTCACTTTCTCTTTCTTGTGGATAGAACTTGATGCATCCCAGTGGGGGACTTGGCTGCAGTTCTTGGGGGGGAACTTTGGGGTTACCCTGATCCTATTCACAGCCTATCTAACTCCACTGATCTCATATTGATTTGATAATTTTTAAAAGATGTCCCAAGGTGATTCTAATATCCAGCAGATGTTGAGAGATGTTATTGCTAAATGCACGTTCCCATGAACACTCATTTGGTAACGCCCATATTCAGTCAAAGGTTTAATCTCACAAGTTGTATTCTTATTCATGTACTGAAAAATAAGTGACTTCTTACATTTGTAGCTAGCCATGTGTTTCCCTTGTATTACCATATTTGATTTTGTTTGTTTGTTTGTTTGTTTTTTGACAGGGTCTCCCTAGTCCCAGTCAGTCTAGAAGCCACAATGTGGACCAGGAATTACCATATTTGAATTTAAGAAGAAGCAGCCTGGGTGACCACTACCGCATTTCTGGAATGAGAATGGAGGCAAAGAGAATAAAAAGACTCACTTGACTAAGTTGGTATTTGAACCTCTTCCAGATCTATGCTCATTCCCCTTGACAGGGCTCATCATCAAATACACTCCTGGAAGCTGCAAAGAAAGTGCCTGTCCTGTCCAGTAGTTCCTTAGAACAGTGCCCTCCTTGAAATAATCACATGAAGAGGGACCATGCCTTATCTGGGCATCTGGCTGCTATGTTGGGAATCTGGCAAAAAAAAAAAAAAAAAAAAAAGGGGGGCCTAAAGGCCAGGAAATCTGATATCAGAATTCCAAGGGCTTCAGAAAACAATTGGCTCAAAACCATCCCAGTCATGTCTGGCCCTAACAGGTAAATCCCCAAAACTGAGGCACACAGGCCCTGTGACCAGGGGCAGCACACCTCCAAACACACATACTAACATGTCCTCTCCACAAAACAGGGCCACTCTGCTTTGCCCTTCCCTGAAAAACTAGACACTGGGGTTGGGGATATGGCCCAGTTGGTAGAGTGCTTGCCTCCCGTGCATGAAGCCCTGGGTTCCATCTCCAGCACTGAATAACACTGGGCCTGGTGGTACACACCTTGTTATCCCAGCACTCAGGAAGAAGAGGAGGGAGAATCAGGAGTTCAAGTCATCCTGTACTAAACAGTGAGTTTAAGGCCAGCATAGGATCCATGAGACCCTGTCTCAAAACAAAACAACAACAAGGAAAGAGTAAACCCTGTCTCAAATAATAATAATAATAATAGTTCACAGACCAGACGCTTTGTTTTCTATATCCCAAGCATAAACCTTTCTTGAATGCTCCATAACCTTTTTCATTTTAAAGATTATACAGACCCTCTGAAGAGGGACCCAAACTTCCCCTCAAATGACAATTCTACTTGTTTCTAAGCTTGCATTTACATTGATTTTCACCCACAATAGATTTCTATATCTCAAGTTTAGTTTATTTGAGCATTTACATTTTTTCTTCTTTTTTAATTTTAAAATTTGTTGAATTCTTTCTTCCAAAGTATCATCATTCAAACAATACTGTTTCTTTCTTTAAATTCAAAAAGTTCTGTTAATCTAATTTGAGGAAATACTACAAACAGTATTCTAACCCCTTTCTTCCAACAAATAGATGAATGAGATCTTTATAAAGCTTTACATATATCTTAAGTTAGCTATAAATGAATAAAAACCAGTATAGCTCAGTGACATGACCATCAGGCATACATCCTAGGTTCAATCCCTGCTAATGGCAAATAAATAAATAACCAGAAAAACATCCCATGCAATCTTCCTTACCTACAGTATCAGAATACCCACAGATTTGCATAGTGCAGGTAACTTCGCACCTGCAAGGCTCAAGAAAACA